TAGTTGCGCGTGACATAGGGTCGACGACGGGTTTGATCTGCTCGCGTGAAGGCCTGCTCGCCACACGTAGTCGTGGCTTTCTTTTCAACTTCTTTTGAGGAAGTGTTAGCGGGAAGCGCAAGGGTCAGGCATTGTGCTCGACAGGCTGGATGGTGTGACGTAAATGAAGGAGGCGGACACGTCATTCCCTCGAGCAATGCGCCGGGTTCCGGAAGGACACGCGTGACGCCTTTTTGAGCCACGTGTCAAGAGCAATAAATGCATATGGCGGCTACGAGTGGGAATGCTTGAGTTCCTACGAGACGCCTCATTTTCTGCACTAGGGCTTATAAATAGAGGGGAGGACCGATTCATTTGCACACTTCCCCCATTTTATCTCAAAAATTTCTCTGTCTCAATCTTTTTTGCTCTCCTAACGCTCGTTCGCCGCCGCCGTCAGCTCTTTGCTCTGCCGTCCTACTCCATATTCTTTGCATAAGTAAGTCTTCTGTCCTTCTCCATAATTTATGCCTTTTTTGGCATGTTATGCATTTTCTGGGGGATTTCTTGAGTCTTCGGTGAATTTTTCGGGACGTTCAATGAATTTTGGGAAAGCTCGTGGAGTTCCCGACGACCTCATGAAGTTTACGATGAAGATTCCGGGGACTTCATGAAGATTCTGGGAAAACGTATGAAGTTCGCAATGAAGGCCTCAGGGACCTCATGAGGCTTTAGCGTCCTCACTGGGTTCGACGTCGGGGAACCCTTCTCCCCGTGGATGCGTGAGTGCCACAAGGAAGTCTCTAGTTAATGATACTTTCCATGTTTGACTGTGGAGGAAACTTAAGCGCTGAGGAATCTTTTCCCAACGGAGGGAGGTTTTACGCTCTGTATCGAGGAGAGTCCTCTCACAAGTATACGCTCATCGACAATATCCTCGACGATCATAAAGGCATCAGAGTCGTCAAGGGCGAAGCGCGAAGTAATACTACGAGGCTCTTGCCTAACCTAATCGAATGATACGTCGGCTTCAACGACCTCGACTTCCTCGTCGGCCAAATCAAGCTCGGCTGGTTCGTCGACCATGACAATATCCTCGGGCTTTGCGGCCATTTTACCTGAAAAATAGTGGAAAATGGTGAATTTGACATCTAAGATCAAATCCACCCTTCCACCACAAACCAAGTGAAAGGGCAAAGAGAAAGGGCGAGGAAACACTCGACGAACGTCCTCGACCGAATCCCTTGCCGACGAGCGTGTGCTTGTGAGGGGACTCTCCTTGACACGGAGCGCAAAACCTCCCCCCGCTGGAGAAAGATTCCTCAATGCTTAAGTTCCTTCCAGAGTCAAACGTGGAAAGTCTCCTCGACTAGAGACTTCCTTGTGACACTCACGCGTCCGCAGGGAGAAGGGTTCCCCGACGTCAAACCCAGCGAGGACGCTAAAGCCTCATGAGGTCCCTGAGGCCTTCATCACGAACTTCATATGTTTTCCCAGAATCTTCATGAAGTCCCCGGAATCTTTGTCGTAAACTTCATGATTTCGCCAGAAACTTCATTAGGTCGCCGGGAACTCCATGAGCCTTCCCAGAATTCGTTGGAGACTCCATGGGCCTTCCGGAAAATTCATTGGAGACTTAAGAAATCCCCCAAAAATGCATAGCACGCCAGGAAATGCATAAGTTATGGAGAAGACAAAAGACATACTTATGCAAAGAATCTGGAGTAGGACGACGAAGCAAAGAGCTGACGGCGGCGACGAGCGAGCGTTAGGAGAACATAAAATCTTGAGACAGTGAAATTTTTAAGATAGAATGGGGGAACGTGCAAATGAGTCGGTCATCCTCTATATTTATAAGCCCTAGCGTGGAAAGTGAGGCGTCTCGTAGGCACTCAAGCATCCCCACTCGTAGCCGCCATAGGCATTTATTGCTCTTGACACATGGCTCAAGAAGGCGTCATGCGTGTCCTTTTAATACCTGGTGCACTGCTCGAGGGAATGACGTGTCTGCCCCTTTCATTTATGCCACACCACCCAGCCTGTCGAGCATAATGCCCGACCCTCGCGCTGTCGAGAACACTTTCTCGAAAGAAGTTGGAAAAAAAGCCACGACTACATGTGGCGAGTAGGCCTCGACGCGAGCACATTGAACTCGTCGCCGACCCCATATTGCGCGTAACTAATGTCGCCTACGTCTAGCCACACATATCACCCTGCAAGCTCAGAACCTCGAGCAAGTGTAATGCTCCTCTAGATAAGTCCCTACGACCTACCTCAACACCAGGATTGACTTAAGTCATTACTCTTTCGCTTCGAAGCAACGACTTGGGGGACTCCTGTTTTGGACTGCGCCAGAGGCTGCCTCACTGTCGGGTATGGCCCAACCAAACTCCTCGCCAGGGAGGGTCGAATGAAGACATCCATCGCCATCTCACACGGGGAGCGCTCACGCGTCTTCCCCACGGTCTCCACGTGCTCCTCACGCGGGGACACATCATCAGGTAACTACCCGCGTTCGAGAGAACAGGTCTACCACCTTTCGAAGATCACGAGGCAGTTAACCCAGAACAAAGACCACGTGCTGGTCTTCCCTACACCATGTAGATCCTGGAAGTTATATGTATTGGGTCTGAAGATCTAACCCAATACATATAACCGTTGGTCCAGTGCTTAGGACACATTATAAATACCTTTTCTCACAAGTAGATCAAGTATTCTAAACTCACATGCTTATGCACTTGCCCACTCTTCCTTTTCTCACTTTGGCATCAGAGTGTCTTGCCAGTACACCCCCTCCTCTTCTCCACCACCGCCAAACTAGGAGCTCGTGACGCGTTATTGGCTGTTGATCTCTTTCTGGTCCGGTAAGATCACCTGTACTTATTTTTTTTGTAAGTATTGTCCATAATCAACACATTAGGAAACATATTCAACAACTTCACTGATCCTGGATGGACCTAGAAGATATCTCTCACAACTTCCGAGTCATCTTTTTTCCTACTCCAATAAACATAATTAGACTCCTCTATGAGCTTAAACAATTGTTGCATTTCCGTTCTAGGACCCCTGATGTCTTTCTGAATCCTAGTCTTATGTTTATATATTTGGGTGATTCGAGTCACATTCTCCAGATCTCGTTCTTGTAATGACAACAATATGTGTCTTGGTGGAACATGAAGTTTTTTCAAATCGACAATATGTTATTGTTCATCAGTATTAAGTCGACTTACCGACACGTGACCTTCAAATCTATTCGGTAAGTCATGGTTGTGAAGTCCACATTTTACGTCAATATTTCAAACAAACCATCTTTTGAAGGTGTTGACCTAATTTTGAATGGACAACCATATTTCTTGGTAGCACTTTCGATTTCACTATCTCTTTCTTTATATTTTTCACCTCTATCACAACCAAATATAACTTTGTCACTTCTTCCTCTCTTGTCAGTTTTGTGTCCGAACGAGTTATTATAACAGTAACTCTATTCCAGATTCCAACCTCCCTAATCCACCTAGTCGCCTCCTCTCGCATGGCAAATTTTTTTGTAGTCAAGAATATCTCAGTCGTGTCTACACATGTCTGATTTTTATTGCATATTATAAAAGGATTGTCCATGCCTAACATAAATGTGATAAAACAAAACATTCCGGATAACTTGAAGTAAAGTTACCTGGAAGTCAAAAAACTAAAACCGGAACACTTGTCCATAAGTTATCCGAAACGTTTAAAATACAAACCGGAGAACTTATCAATGTGTTCTCTCGAACGTATTATGTGAACCGGATAACTCACGTACAAGTTATCTGATTTGTTAAATTATACAACTGAATTTCTTCTACGTGTTTTTCGGTTTGCAAATAATACATTCCGGATTTATTTACCTAATGTTATCCGGTTGACATTGTATACTTTCAAAAAATCACTTTTTGACTAATTTGACTGCATAGTAAAAAGTAAAAAAATAAAATTGTAAAGGATAATTTTGAAATATTTAAAAAATTGTAGGGGTATGGGGATAAGTGCGGGAGTATGGGATAAAATTTTCCTTTAAAAAAATAGATTTTTTTTTGTATTTTAAAAAATGGATTTTACAAAAACGTTTTTTTAAAAATATTATAAGTTTTTTTAAATATGTTTTTATAAATTAAAAGACAAATTTTGACATACTATAACATAAACATACATTATTAAACATCAAAATATAGTCAAAATCACATATTTTCAAAAAGTTGCATTTCAAAAATGATTTTTATGAAAAGTTATTTAAAATAGCTTCAAAATTAAGTGATTTTCTAAAATTTGACATCCAAAATTTTTTTCGATAAAATACATAAAATAACATTTTACGAATAACTATTCAAACCAAATTTTAATTTAAAACTGTAAAAAAAAAATTTACACTAAAATATATTACACTATAAAAATCATTTTAAAAAAAAAGTCTAAACAAAGAAACCCATTTTTTATGCCTATATTTTGGTAATATACTTTTATTTAATACTCCCTTGAATAGTTTAAGCACGTCATTCATTTCACATTGTGTAAATAAAAGCATCAATTTTATAAATAATAAATATGTATTAAAGGTTATTGACATAAATTTTTATAGACTAAAATGTTACCTAACTTCATAAGTTAAAAGACTAATTTATTAAAAATAATATATACTAGTCAAGTATTTGGAGGAGCATGAAGTGTGAAAATCAGAGAATCTTATAGCTGCCTAGTACAGATTTTTTTAAAAATCAATTCAATTCCAGACACAATAAGATCACCTCATTCCCCCACAATATAAAACCACACTGTGACATTTTGAAAAGATAATCCCAAAATCATCATAACAAGAATTAATCTGTTAGTGTTTTCATATCCGACTAAAATATATGATAAAAAATCAAATAAAGGAAATAGAGTTTCATTACCAAGATCTTTTAGCATATAAAGATTTACATTTTTACAAATAGTGATATCCCCCAACAAATTATTGCTACATTCTTGCATTAAGTTGTTCCAGTAGAAAACTAAATGCCTTGATATCCTTTTAGCTCAAGAATGCGATATTTAATCTCCTTCTTAAACAGAACCTTAATTTCTAGGCCGTGATCTGAAATGCACCGTAGAACACTTCCCAGACTAGCAATTTCTCGATCTCTCGCCTTATCCTGAGTTCAAGTTCATAGTTATCATATGAAAATGGAATGTTTCACAAAATATAATTTAAATAAGAAAAATTAAAGAACCTTGATTTCATTGGAGTTGCTGATGTTGCAACTGGTCTCGCATATCTGTTTCGCATTCCGGACGTGTTCTTGCAAGAGATCAACTAGTTGATTCTTGTCACCCAAGTTATATTCACAACTGAATCTAACAGCTCCAACAAATTCCTTCTTCTTGATAAGATTTTCAACAAAATCTGCAAGGTGCAACAAATTTCACAACTGAATCTAACACCTCCAACGAAATATGCCATAATGTTCTATCAAAAACCATGTTTCTATCCAACTTATTAATCTCAAGATCTTTCCTAATAGTTTCTCTTATGGTTTTGCAAAACTACATCTACCATAATTGATTAAGTGAGTAAAAAATGGCCCTATCTTAGAGTTCTGCACTATCTCAGAGACTAGCAACTTTAGGTTTTCATAATGAATAGGTATGAGCACATTTGATTGCAAAAAGGAACGGCGGGGAAAGTAACAATATATATAAGCACATTTGATTTGATAAGTAAAATATCAAAAGCATATACATAAATCAGCATACCAGAAACTTTATTTGCAAAGCCCAGGGTCCTAAATAGCTCCACAGCTATCTTGTGATGAGCAGCAAATGCAAAAAGCTCCAAAATTTCATCTTCGATAAAAGAAGTAACCAATCCATAAATTGACAAAAGCAGAAGAAAACCAAGAATTGCCAAAGAATTTTCAGTATTTTCTTTCATGTTAGCTTTCAAATCAAGTGCTAGCTTCAATGCTTCTTCTCTTACACAAGGTTTAATATTTGGTGAGATTCTTATCAGTCGTTCTAGCAGATTGATGTGGCTATCATTAATAATCACAGCATTGTGTCCTTTCTTATCACAAAGTGGAATAGTGGCGTTCAGTATAATATCCAAAACAAGTTTCGCTGGATCTGATGATTCTAGCAGATTAACTAAAACACCACTGCAAATGGACTCAACCCCATCAGTTTTCTCACCTGTGTCCAACTGCAATCCTGTTGCATCAATGGCAGCACTTAATTGATAATCAATGTAAGATGTAACTGCATATTTATATAGCAGATCCAGATATTTAAGCTACCTGATATGGATAGAAGCATCAGTAAAAAAAAACAATATAATAGGAAAGAATGTAAAACACCTCTTAGATTGAAATGTGTGTGTGACAGAGGAAAGCATTATACTAACAGTTACGATCAATGTCATTATAGAGCCTTAATCGAATCACTGGAGATAGCTTTAGATTGATTAATAAACAAGACTAGAAATAGTTACACTAATAGGACTATTAAGTGCCCTTTGAAGTTTGTCAGGATATTGAACCTACTCTAATTGCAATATACTAGAAAATTAAAACTCATTAATATGCTAATCTTTCATAACCAGTACCATAATATTATAAATAAACCTTAGTCAGGGATGAAAAACGCAAGAGTTTTTTGCACTTAAGTGATTCATAAAACGTTCAAGGGTGACAGATATAATCCAAATTAGTGGTTGTGATATGAAAACTAGAGAAGCTTTTCAACTTGACTCAAACATACAACAGTAACATGATTAAAAATGTCTTTAATGAATTATGTAGATCAGATTATAAAAGATATCATCATCACTAAAAGGAACAGTTGTAATGAAATTCTTTCGCCAAACTAGGTGAATAAGAAAATTTACCCGAATCGTTTTTGTCAACAATATATTTTGTTAATACTTCATATTGTTTTTCTGTCAACTCAGGCTCCTTTAGTTGTCTATCAATTTTATTCATCTTTGACTCAAGATCATTGACTTGTCCTCCAAACTGCTTCTCTTTTAAATTGAGCTCCTTAACCTTTACTTTGAACTTATTCTCTCTTAATTCAAGTTCTTTCCACAATCCTTCGAATTGCTTCTCTTTTGATTTGAAGTTTTGAAATAGACTTTCAAAATGCTTCTTATTTGATTCGAACTCCTTAACTCGACCATCAAGTTCCTCCTCCTTTAATTTAATGTCCTTCACTCGACCTTCAAGGTCCTCCTCTTTTGATTTAATGTCCTTCACATGGTCTTCAAGTTCTCTCTCTTTTGATTCAAGTTCCTTTACTTTGCCTTCAAGTTGTTCTATAGACTCAAGCACCTTCATTCCGTCGTTGAAATGCTTCTGTTTTGATTCCAGTTTCTTTTCCAACTCCTTCAGGGGTAATTCAAATTCTTTCTTTTTGGATTCAAACTCCTTCACCCGGCCTACAAGTATGTCCTCTTTTGACTCTAACTCATTGAATCGTCTTTCAAAGTGCTTCTTTAAAGATTCCATCTCTTTTACTTTGCCTTCAAGTTGCTTTTTTGTAGATTCAAACACCTTCACTCGGCCGTTGAAATGCTTCTGTTTTGATTCCAGTTTCTTTACCAACTCCTTCAAGGGTAACTCAAATTCTTTCTTTTTGGATTCAAACTCCTTCACCCGCTCTACATGTATGTTCTCTTTTGACTCTAACTCATTGACTCGTCTTTCAAAGTGCTTCTTTATAGATTCCATCTTCTTCACTTGGCCTTCAAACTCTCTTTCTTTTGATTCATGCTCCTTGAATCGGATTTCGAAATGCTTCTCATTTGACTCAAGCTCCTCCAATCGCCTTTCCAAATGCTTCTGTTTTGATACCAACTCTATCATTTGACATTCAAACTCCCTTTCTTTGGCCTCTAACTTTTTCCTTTCGGACTCAAATTCTTCTGCTTGTCCGCCAATTAATTTGTCCATTGCATCAAGCTCTTTCTCTTTGGCCTTAAGTTCCAAAGTACATTTAGCAATTTTTTCGGAAAGAGCCTTGAGTTCCTCTTCCTTCCTTCCACATTCCTTATCAATTTTATCAATGACTTGACAAAGTTCTACCTCTTTCGTCTTAAGCTCTTGCGTGCGCTCTCCAATCAAGTCCTCCATCAAATATAGCTGTCCTTCCTTCACTACAAAATCCTTGATACATTCTTCAATTTTTCCCTGCATTTTGTTGTGAGCTTCTTTAATTCTTCTAAACAACCTAACTTTCTTTTTCTTAGTTTCAAGCTCTTTGCAGCACTCCTCAATCTCTCTCTTTATGGACTGCAATCTCTTCCCTTCTACTCGCGTCTTCCTTTTGCCTTCCTCAAATAATTTTTCTAACAATGCAAGGTCTTTCTTCAGCAAGGAAAATGACTTATTAGTTGATTTTACCGGCAAATGAATATCATCTTCATCTTTGCCGTGATCAACATATGTTGACACCTTTGATTTCTTAACTTTAATAGGCAAGGAATCGCTATCATCAAACAGCCTTTTAACAGACACATCACGTTTGTTACTACATGTTCCCAAACACGCAATCTGGGAAATCCTTGTTGACAAAAGAACATCATCACCATCTTTAAATTCAAAGCCATCACCAAAAACAGGTTCTTTCATATCAGAAGCGAGACATTTAACATGCAGATTCCCATCATCATCACCACCACAAAATTTTGGTTTAACACAAGCCTCAAAATCCATCGTTCAGTTATAGAAACATGAAAGCTTCAGCAATTACAAACACTATGAAATCCTGAAGGAAAAAAAAAACCGAAATTATAAAATAAATAAACAAACAAGAAAGTTGATATAAAAAATTTCTAGATCAAACAGAATCATGAAGTAATAGATTATTAGACTTCCAGAAGCAAAGTTAAAGTATAAACACTAAGAACAATGGCACAAAAAACAGGGGTAAACGCTTCAACACGTGTAAATCAACACAATTAATAGCCCTAAATATTGCACGAAGTTGATTTTTCTTGACAAATCATGAAGATATATAAATGTGAAAGAGAAATAAGTACAAAAGCATGAGAAATAAACAAAATGAAGAAACAGAGTAAAGTTGAGATGCTTACAATAATAATGGTGATAGAATAGAAGAGAAAAATGGAAGATGAAGATGAAGAGAGAAGAAGTTTCTAGAATTTCATTTGCATTTGGAGAGTGAAGTGAGAATAAAAAAAAATGAAGGAATGAGAAAGAAGGGAGAAGAGAGAGAGGGAAATGTTGAGAGTTCGTTGCAACTGCGGGAAAGCTTCAGGCGGGGTTAGGTGTGAGACTGGGGTCCACAAAACAGACTCGAAAATGGTAAATACATTGTCCCTTTCAATTTAGAATGATATTAATTACTAACCTTTGTGCATTAATAAAAATTTTATTTTTTATATTTCTTGAAAAATCAATTTATCAGATCTATATATAACAAATCTTTTGTTTTGGAGGATAATTCTCTTTTGGAAGAAGTTATCCCTTATATGGTGACCGATCATTGCTAAGATTTTGGTGGATCGGTTGACTAAAGTACTTTCTCATATAATATCAAGGGAGCAAAAGGGTTTTATCCAAGGTCGTAGCATTAAGGATTGCATATGTCTCACTTCTGAAGTGACAAATGTGATTTAGAAAAAGTCTTTTGGCAGTAATATAATGCTTAAGGTAGACATTGCCAAGGCTTTTGATACCTTGGATTGGGGATTTCTTTTAAAAGTTTTAAAGAAGTTTAGTTTCAATGAGAAGTTTTGTTCTTGGATTCGTCTGGCGCTGGAATCAGCTAAGGTTTCTATCTCAACCAATGGTGATCTTAGAGGTTTCTTTAGTTGCAAAAGGGAAGTTCGTCCGGGAGATCCACTGTCTCCTTTTCTTTTCTGCTTGGCTGAGGATGTTCTTAGCAGGGGTCTCACGTACTTGGTTACGAACAACAAGTTGAAGTGTATTAAAGCTTGTAAGAACGTGTTGTTTCCTTCTCATACTTTATACGCAGACGACATCGTGTTATTTACTAGAGGATGCTCTTCGTCAGGCAATAGCTGAGTTATTTACTAGATATGTTGTGTGCTCTGGGCGGGTTTGCAATCCCGTAAAGTCCGTTATGTTTGCAGGATCGATGTCCACTGTTAGGCACGGTTTTTTGGCAAGCAAAATTGGTTTTAAGATGGGATATTTGCCTTTTTCTTATCTTGGGGTGCCTATTTTCAAAGGCAGACCCAAGGTTGTTTATTTCCAACCTATTGCTGATAATATTAAGGTAAAGTTGGCGGCTTGGAAGGCGACATTGTTGTCAATAGCTGGAAGGGTCCAATTAGTAAATTATGTTATTCACAACATGCTTGTTTACTCTTTCAGAATTTACTCTTGGCATGTCAGTTTGATTTCTCAAATTGAAGCTTGGTGTCGGAATTTTATATGGAGCGGTGACATTTATCAAAAGATGTTGGCCATGGTGGCTTGGAAATTCTGTTGCAAGGATGTTAAAGATGGAGGGCTTGGCATTAAATCTCTTAGGGCAACAAATGAGGCCAAAAATTTGGTGCAGTACTGGAATGTCATAAACAAGACGGACACTTGGGCAACTAGTATCAGAGCTTGTGTTTTTAGGAGGGGCATGATCCGTAAGTCTCGTGTTTTTTCTTCAATTTGGACAGGTTGTAAGGTTGCTTACGCAGACCTTTTGGGGCATTATATGTAGTCAATCGGTAAGGGTGATAAGATTAATTTGTGGCGTGATAACTGGTGTGGTCAAATCATTGTGAATCTTATTCATGTAGGCGGGAATCGGTACTATTTTGCGAGGTAACTTTATATTATGACCTAATTCTTTGATTCGTATCTATCCCGACTTGTCTAAGTTGGTTTTCAACATTCATGTAAATTGTTCGAAAAAGGATAAACTTATGTGGACGAAGTTCGACAGTGGCGATATCTCTGTTAAGGAGGCACTATCTTAATTGTGGTACATGTAATGTTTGGGGCAAGCTTCTTTGGCATTCATTTATTCCTCCTTCTCACTCTATTTTGTTTTGGAGATTAACTAATCAAAGGCTGCTTACAAATGATATTCTTCTTAAATGTGGAGTGAATGGTCCTTCTGTTTGTAGCCTTTGCGCTCGTAATGAGGAATCTGTTTCGCACCTCTTTTTAGCTGCGAGTACTCTAAGCAGGTGTGGAATTGGCTTTGCAACATGCTAATTAAACTTGCACAATGATATTACAACTATGGATGATTATTTCTTCACGATGAACGTCATTGTTTCGAATCAATGTAGAGTTGTTTTCCGTGCTGCTGTTAATGGTATTTGGTGTGCCCGGAATCATGCCCGATTTCAGAAAAATCTTACTCCTTGGAGAACCACATGTTCTTTCATTTACTCTCTTGTTCATCTGGATGGTAATGATGTTCATGGTTCCTCTCATGTGGAGATTGGTGATTTTGAAACTCTTAAAAGGTTTTTTATTTCTATTAAGCAACCTAAACCTATGATATGTTCATATATTATTTGGAGTCCTCCATCAAGGGGTGGGTGAAGGTTAATGTGGACGGAGCTTCTAGTGGCGTATCAATTCGGGTTGCTTGTGGCGGTATTTTTAGGGATCATTTAAGTAATCATGTTGGAAGTTTCGCGTGTAACTTAGATAATGTGAATGCCCTTTTTGATGAGCCTATGGGAGCAATCTTAGCTATTGAGCAGGCTTTTGCGCATGGTTGGACCAATCTTTGGATTGAGTCGGATTCTAAATTAGTTATGTTGGCATTCAGTAAGCCTTTTGTGGTTCCTTAGCGTATTAGGAACAAATGAGACAAGTGTACACAGGTTCTTCGTAATTTTAATTTCATAGTTTCTCATATATATATATATATATATATATATATATATATATATATATATATATATATATATATATATATATATATATATATATATATATATATATATATATATATATATATATATATATATATATATATATATATATATATATATATATATATATATAAGGAAGATAATCATTGTGCTGATAAGCTGACTAACATATTGTTTAATATCTCTAATTTTACTTGGTGGAAAGATGTTCGTATGGATATTCAACCAGAGTTTATTAGAAACCGGTTAGGATTGCCAAACTTTAGGATCAGATAGGTTTGAAGTTTCGACTTTATGTCCTCCTCATTTTTGTACCTACTTTTTTTTTAATATATTTTTTTTAGCTTTTGCTCAATTTATAAAATAAATAAAAAAAGATATATTGATTTTCTCATTAAAGAGAAAGTATAAACTTATAATTATACCATATAAGAGATACATTAAGATTTTTTTTTTGCCACTCATTTTCATAGTTTTTTTTTTGTTTATGTAAATGTAAATTATTGTGGACTGAATAAATTATAAATTTTGAAAATATATTATGAAATTAATTTTTTTAAGAAAAAAAATATATAATTTTTGATATTTTTAATAAATCAAATGAGTTATTTAATAGAGTTGGTACAATTCATTTTGCTTCGGTAGACCTACACGTTTAAAAGAGTTGGAGTGTGTCAGCTGATTATTTTATGGTTACTAAAACTGAGTTCCATCCATATTATAATGGACCATGAACCAATGGTTCAACTGTATTTTAATATTATGTTTTTAATCTTTTTAAAGGAATATAAAGGATAATTATAAACTTAATTGAATGGTGTTTAAAATAATCATGAAATCAATATATATCTTCAATATTTATTAATATTTATGTTCATCTCAAATTTATATCTTTCTTTCAAAAATATATCTTCATCCTCTTTATCTTTTCGTTTTCATAAATTAACTAATTTTTTTTAAATTAACTAAAATTATTTTTAAGAAATTTTACCCCATTCCCCTACATTTATACCCACACCCCTACACTAAAAAATGGACCAAAATACCCTTAAATAGTATAATTTTAAAAAAATTTCATTTTCACTTCATTTACATTTCAAGACCTCCGGAGAACTCAATTTTTACCTTCAAACCGAACTCTTCCAACAAATCATCCGGAACACATTTTTTCACCAACACATACCGAAACTCCACAAGTAAGTCTTCCAGTTTCTTCATTTTTCGTGTTGTTCACCGGAAGACTTTATTTATGTCTTCCGGTTTGTAGCTTTTTTTGGTTCCTTCACCGGAAGACTTAATGCATGTCTTCCGGTTCATAATTTTTTTATTTTGTTCACCGGAAGTCTTGGATTAAGTCTTCCGGAACACACGTTTCACGTTTTGTTCACTGGAAGTCTTAGTTCAAGTCTTCCGGTTCATTTTTTTTTTAATTTTTAATTATATATTTTTTTTAATTTTTAATTTTTAATTTTTAATTATATTTTTTATTATATATATATATATATATATATATTAATTATATTTATTTATTATTCTTTTTTTAATTTTTATTTTTTAATTATATTTATTTATTTATTTATTTATTTTGTCAGTGGTGCGCACACGAGCCAGAGATGGTAGGATCCTTCGTGAACTAGGACAGGGCAAGTCATCGAGAATGACTGAAGAAGAGCATTTTGATGCATCTGCATCAACATCAGCATCCGAGCCTGTTGGATATCCAGGAGGACCGTATGATACATCTCTGTTAGTTAAGTACGAAAATCATGTTGCTAGATGTATATGGTTCGGTGAGGTAAGTAAACGAAAAATATTTAATATTGAATAAAATTCAAA